GGCCAGTTCAGAACAAGGGAGTTTATAATGCAAATATGAACAAGGCTTTGTCTTGGAGCTGCTATGGAATTCCACTCTGATCCTAAAGTCCTAATCCTAAAGTGCTGGAGGCGCAGGCCTGCACGCGTTCTGATTGGATGTTGGTCTGACATTAGGGGCACATGAAGTGTGTGGCTGGGGTCTGGGTAATTCCCTGTAGAGAGCTGGGGACAAAGTAAGCAATTCTATGGCTTCTTGACAGCACTTTTGGAAGATGGTGGTGAATATCAAACATGGATGGGACAGCAAGGCCACCTAAGCACAGATCGTGGGATGGGGGATAAGTCAGATGATCTCCATTAGACTGTAAGACTCACCCCTGTGGTTCTCTGTTTGTCCTGAGTCATGGTGCCCTTGGGGAATCTAATGAGAATTGTGCAGTCTTTCTTCTACTACACAAAATGTCTACAGATCCGTCTTATAAGTCTGTATTTAATTATGGGAGGGGGTTGCAGATTCTCCCTACCCTATAGCCATTCATAGACTCCCTGGTAGCTGTAACCCTCCCTGAAGGATGTCTGGCTAGAAGAATGGGCAAATCCACACTTTCCAGCAAAGCAAGGTCTTCATCCCTAAACTGGAATCAAAACGAATCAAGAAGTTTGGGGGCAGGTGTAGCTCAGAGGTACAGTGCATATTCTGTATGCATGAGGCCACTGATTTGATACCTGGTACCATACATAAACCAATTAAGTGAGTATAAAAAATTTAAAAACCCAAGGTTCACATGTAAGCTTGAAATCCTTACAAATTGCTTAAATATGAGATAACAATAATAAAACCGAGAAAGCTCATGTTCTTTTTAAAAAATAACACTTGATTAGGGTTTGATGCCAAAGAAAAGTTTGCAATTATAGCAGTACATGGAGGAAGACGGTGACTTGAAGAAAACAGCTGTGAAGGTGACCACAGCACTCTCACAAATTCTCATGAAGCATTTCACTCTAGTCTGACAAGTTCATATAGGTAATTAAGTAATTTAATACCACCTTGTTTGAAGACTAAACGGACAAATGATTCCATTACCTGAGAGTAATTATTCTGACTAGACAAAATAATATCTTCTTTGCATGTGCCGGGAAGGAACTAAAAATTAGGCTGAATGCACTGCAGCAAAACCAGTAAAACAGAAAATTCTATCTGGGGCTGGGCATGGCTCAAATGGAAGAGCGCCTGCCTGGTTCAAACCCCAGCAGTATAAAAAACAAAAAAAGCCAGAGAAAATTCTAAGCAATGCTCACCATCTCTTAAAGACCCTTGTTAATCAATGTAATACTTAATCTCCATGGTGTGCCCCGTTCCACTGAGAGTATCTCCTGGCCTGTCTTTCTCACACACAGTGTAATTTACTGGAGGGTAAAATGCGTATCTAATTCATCCTTGACTCCCAGCTCCTAGGGCCTAACGGTTGGTGGTGGCAGAAGCTCGATACATGTGTACTGAAGCATTTCAGAGGATGTAAACGTATTTTCAACCATTTCTGTTCTACACAGAAGTGAAACTGTTATATTTTCTGAATCTTTTGTCCATTGTTCTATTGGATAATTTATTTTTTTTTCTTATCAATCTATAGACCTTGGTATTTTACCTATCAATCTGAATGCTAATTATTTGTTTATTATCTTTGCAAATGTTTTGTCCCAATCTGTCACTTGTCTCTGAACCTTATATTGTTCACCATGTATGATTATTACTATTTTGTTTTTGTGATGCTGGGGATTGAACCCATGGTCTTGTGTATGCTAGGCAAGCATTCCACCACTGAGCTATGTCCCCAGCCCTTGATTTTTTGAGAAAGACCTTTGAAATATAGCCCAGGCTGGCCTTGAACTTGTGGTCCTTCTGCCTCCCTATAGTGCTAGAATCACACAGGCCTGTGTCACCACACCACGCAAATGTGGACTTTCAGATTTTCATATAAGACTAGACACACACTGTTTATTAAAATGGGGCTATTCCCATGACTGAAAATGACAAGAGGAATCATTTTAATAATAAACTCTTTAGGCAGGACCAGATACACCTGAGAGTGAGCATAGATTTCACTCAAGGGCAGGAAATGAATCAGGCCCCAGGGGAGGCTTGATCAGGCAATGGGGCTTTGGGGGCAGGAAACATCTCATGCCCCTTTCTGCTGTTCAACACATGGGATTTGCTATCCATGTCCCAACAGAGCACAGAATCAAACATACTACCTTCATGAGAGCACTACAGAGCCAGTGCCCTATGGTCTGTACGTGTTTATGTAAGTCACATATTTATACGTAATAGAGCATGATTTTTAGACATTGAAGGTAATATAAAAGATATTTGCACACTCATGTTTATAGGAACATTATTCACAATAGCCAAGAGGTGGAAGCAACTCTTAATAATCCATTGGGTGGATGGATGGATAGACAAGTATGGTAGATAATACAGTGTGTTATTGTTCAGCTTTTAAAAAGAAATTCTGACCCAGGCAACAACATGGCTGAACTTTGATGACATTCTGCTAAGTAAAGTAAGCCCGTCACAGAACAAAGACGACAGACAGGACTTCGTACATGTGAGGTACCTAGAGGAGTCAAATTCATAGAGCCAGAGAACAGAATGGTGGATGCCAGGGGCTGGGAGAAAGAAGGATGAGCGATGTTTAACGAGCACAGAACCAGTCTTTACATGATGAAAGGGGTTTCTGGAGACTGGTTGTTCAACAAAGTGAATGGACTTCACTCCGGACCAGGACATTTCAAAATGGTTATAACAATAAATTTTATGTGATGGGAGACTTTACATATAAAACGTACATATAAATAAAATCAGTTTTTCCCCAAATTAACTAAATAAAAGGAACTTTAAAACTCATTAGTCAGGTATCAATAATAAATAGGGGAATAGCTAGTTATGGTGGTGCATGCCTGTAATACCAACACTTGGGAGGCAGAGGTAAGAGGATCAAGAATTGAAGGCCAGCCCGGGATACATACGTAGCAAGACACTATCTTAATAAAAACAAAACCAAATAAAGGAGGTAGGGGGAACAGACATAATGAGTGGCAAAGAATTATCAGGTGTCTAGACCTGCACAGTCTCAGTTAATACTCTTTTCAAAGAGTATTTCAAAAGCTCCATTTTACAGAGAAGAAAACTGAGGTGCAGAATGGTTAACTTGCCTAAGGCTATATGACTTGAAAGGAGTTCTAGAGCCAGGTACTCTGACTCTACAGCTTACCACGTAAGCCCTCCCAATGTACAAGTTCCCTGGCACCAGAATCTCTCCCACCTACAGCCTCATGGACCAGGAGGGACCAGAGAAATAGCTAGCATCATTCTCTATGCTCATAGGATGTTCTGCCCATCACCTTCTCAGCGGATACTACTCATTAAAGCACTGTAACATCCTGGTGCTCCTTTCATCAACACTACCACTGGGGGCTCTGACCCACAGTTTCTAACTCCAGGTCCACAGCTAGCCATCCTCATCCAACTCTCCCTCTGGTTCACCTTGTCATTCTCCAGGAGAATGCCCATACAGGACACACCCAGAGGTTCGTGGCTTGTCCAAGGTCACACAGAGAGCGAGCCTGTTTTGCATACAGCACCAACATGTCTCTTTAAAGATATTCTGCCATGATGACACATAGTCTATAAATATGAGTTTGACAAAGTAAGGACTGGTCCAGACAGTTCTGTCAGCATAAAACAGAGTGCTTTATTCTAGAAGCTTTTCTTGTAGAGTTGATGCATTAGAACCACTTCACTTTTCAATGCCCGCCCTCCCCCAGCCAAGCCCCCTTGCCATTAGCCCTACAATTGCGTGTGATCAATCGAGCAGATCCATTTAGATGGCATGTTTAGCCACCCCTGAAGTGGATTTGGTACCGGAGTAGCAAAGTACACAATTGCTACATTATACAGAGCTTTGAGTAATGGAATCACATAAATCCTCACTTGATCTGCATTTCCTGTCTGCAAGGAATTCTTAAAATGGCCTTAATAACCCGGAATGAACTTTGCAATGTTTCAGCAGGAAAGCGCAGAGTTAGGTTTTTCTGTCTGGCAGATTTTTTTTTTTTTTCCCTAGCAAAATAACTCACTTCTGAGCTTGGCACAAGACTGATGAGAGCGTGAGGTAACTGCTGGGCTCCATTCTGGGTGTCATGTGAGAATCTGCCATCATAACCCCTCAGATGTAACAAAGGTGCTCTTTCGTGAATCCTTGTTTGTTTTCTGCTTTCTCATAGGCTTACCATCGTGGGTAACACTGGGGCTGGCACCAACTAAGCTGGCACCAACTAAGCAAACTCTATGGCAAGTGCTTCTTTGTGTTAGTGGCAAAAAGGTTGCAATCCTACCAAAAAAATTTCCAAGTCTACCTTTTGTAATCTCCCCTTAATTAAGTTACAAAAACACACTAGGATTCCAGGAAGAGAAATGGATTTCAATTTGTCAGCTCTACTATTAATACAAACTTTGGCTCACAGTGAGTGAGCACTTTCTTCTACTGAGTTATATATGCCCTCAACAGTACACTCCATGAGCTAGGGGCTTGGTGTATTTTGCTTACCACTGGATTGCCAGTTCTGAGGAATATTTTTGTGTATGGTTGGTTCTGAACAAACATTAGTTGAATGACTAAATAAACTCACTTAGTTTTCATAATAAGCCTGTATGAACATCATCAACACTATTTTACTGAAGAGAAAAACTAAGGCTCAGTGTTAATTAAAATGTATCCAAGGTCATAACTCACAAGTGTTATAGCTTATGTTCAAACATATGTGTACCTTACTTTAGAATCTATGCTTTGACTACAGCATAATTTTATTAGTAGAGATAGACCTTAGGCCTTTTCCAGTACTGAGACCATCATGTAAGATAGATCTAAAAGAATCTATTTCACTTCAACACTCAATCTAGTTGCTACCTTTTAGATTTCATCAATGTTCTACAATACAAGATGAAAAGAAATGACTTACCTACAAATCCTTCTTCACCAACCAGTTTGAGGGCAATTTTATCAGCTAGCACGGAAGAGTTACCATGAGCAATGTTAGCAAAGGGGCCTGCATGCACAAATACGGGTGTCCCCTACAGAAGAAGAACAAATTAAAACCAAAGACAAATGCAAGCATGGAAACCAAGATCAATTTGAGACACACAGGGTGGAACAGGCTGTTAGTCTTTTAAAGTCTGCTTCCATTTGTACTGTATATTCAACACATACTACCTCTCAAAGACAGTTAAGACACCCCGATTCACTCAAAAGATCAAATTTCTTATGTATTCTAGGAAAGCATTATTCTGCATTTAATGCTGAACTAGGGACAGAACCATTATGATTTTCATAAGCTATTTTTAGCAGCCTCACTGACCAAGAAATAAACTCTGCTTATTTCTCATTATTCTATATTTTATATATATGTTAAAACAATGGAATTAGACCCCAAGAGTCTCTTCAATTTTTGTTCCCACTGGAGGGATGACTCAAATGGTAGAGTGCCTGCCCAGAAAGTATGAAACCCTGAGTTCTAACCCAAGTATCACCAAAACAGACAAAGAAAAAAACAAAACAAAAAACAAAGGAGGAGGCAGAGAAGAAGAAAAATTAGTTAATTCAAGAAAAACCTTAAGTAAGCATAAATATCAGTACAACTCATGAACCTGGGGAATCATTGCAGGCCAATTACACAAAGATTAAATTTAGGCTGTCACAATAAAATTTCTTATTATTAAAAGTTCTCTTTAAGTCTTTCTCACTGTTTAACTATCTTACTTGTTAGAAAACTTAACTATTAAGATAACAAAAGCAGAGGGAAACTTCACTCATAGTAAAATGTTAAGAGTAATTCTTAGTTATAAAGAGGAAAACAAAAATCACTGAAGGAATTATCAAAAGCAATTAATAATTTAAACAAAACCTGTCAATATATCCAATTTTTAATGTCACTGCTATACTGTTTCCTTTACCATTATTAGTGACAATAGACTTTAGCTGTATATAAAAAGAATTTAGCCTCCTGAATTAAAATGTGCAGGTTTTAGCCTGAGCCCAGCCAGGGCCACTGGGGTCTGTACAGGAAGGCTTCGCTCCACCTGTGAAAATACAGGCTGTCCCTCCAGTGACAAGGTAGGCAGGGAGCGAGGTGGGGAGCCATGCGGAGGGCTGGGAACCATGGAAAATTCCTGTGAACCATGACAGGCTATTAGCTCCATGTGGCTCAGAGATGATGAAGCTGAACAAAGTCAGGAAGAAAGTTAGTGAAAGAAAAATAAGAGTAAAAAAAGAGAGTCTCTCAAACCCACTCTGTGACCAGTTTATTTACTTTTCCTTCCAAAGTCCTTGCGTGTGAAAATAAGATAGAGCCCTGGGAAGGTCACAGGGACATGTGCAAATGAAGCCAGGACTACAAAACCCAGGAACACGTGTTTACAGTCATGTATGTATGTATGTCTCGTGTCTACATCTGCAGCTTCCCAACTACCTGTAGCCTCTTACTTCTATCTAAATAAACTTTTCCAGTGCTCAGATGAAAGCATTCTATAAAGTCCTGGAAGTCTCTAGCGCCTTCTATCTTCCTACCTATGGCAATCTAGAGTGTGATGGTGAAGTGTGATGAGGACAAGGTCACAGGCCATGTCCCTCGATGGGCAGCTGGCTTAACTCCTTTTCAGACTGCAACCTTCACCACTGCCATCTGTCTGAGAAGCACCAGGCCCTGGACTCCAGGGCATGCAGGTGACAGGGTGGGGCTGAATCAGCACATAAATCATATCCCTGAGATAATCACTCCAAGCTGCTACTAGATCCAAAGCATTGTCTTAGTTTAAAAAGGGGAAGGACTTTCATCTTTTTATAGAGCCTTTCTTACTTTCCAGGCTACATAATCTAACCCATTAGCAAAAGTGTTTTCTGATTTAAATTTTTATTTTTAATCAACAAATAACGATCGTGTATCTTTACGGGACACATTGTTCTGGAATTTCTGTGCATCATGGAAAGATGGTGCTGTTGTTTGGATCTTGGTTCCAGCTTGGGCCCCACTGGAAGTTGGTGAAACCCTTAAGTGTTTCACCACTTAAGAGTGAAGCATTCTAGAGTTTTAAGTCCTGGAAAGTGTATTCTTGAAGGGGATTGTGGGAACCTGGTCTCTTTCTTGCTTCGTGTCCTGGCCAAGGGATAAGCAGCTTTGCTCTGTCACACACTCCCATCATGACGTACGGCCTCACCACAAACCCAAAAGCAATGGGGTCAACTGGGCATGGACTGAACCCTCCAAAACTGTGAGCCAAAATAAACCTTCTCCCTTTGTAAGCTGATTGTGTTACATGTTTGTTATAGGAGCAGAAAGCTAACACAGGTCATACCAAGCTCATTACTGTAATTTCCACCTCACCCTTTTTTTTGTAGAGAACCTGTAATAATCTATTCTCCCAGCCATTTTGAAATATACAATACGGAATTATTAACTATGGTCACCTGTTGTACAATGGATCTTCCTGCCTCACTAGAACTTTGTACCATTCCGTCAGCTTTTCTCTGTTCCCTCCACCCCCAGCCTCTGGGAACCATCTTTCTGTTCTCTACTTCACTTTTCACAGTTTCACAGCTGGAAGCCACAGGGCCAGTTAGTGTGAGAGCAAGAAGAGGCCAACCTCTTCTTCACCAGAGAGACCAACTGCACAGGAGGGCTAAGGGATGCTTCAAAACCACGTGGCAGATCAACAACCAAATCAAGATCAGAGCCCTGTCAACAGTTCCCAAGACCCCAGCTCCAAAATCACCAAAGCAAAATGGACTGGAGGTGTGGTTCAAATGGTACAGTGCCTGCTTTGCAATCACAAAGCCCTGATTTGAAATCCCAGTCTCCCCATCCCCCCAAAAAATCAGAGCCCTGGCTTTGAAACTCCCAGGACAAAGTCTGAGAGGAAAAATTATTAAATCACTGTGAGACATTCAAACCAGATGCACACACATTCAACAACAGAGATTGCTGTAAAGGACTGCGCTTTGCGCTTGCTAGGCAGGCACTCCCCCTTGAGCAACACAGCCCTAAGAGCCATACTTTGAGATAAACACATTGTCTGAAACAAAAGAGCAACAAAATCCAAAAAAAACTATGACTAATTCGAAGGTATAAAAGTATTTATTTTGAGCTCAGAACACTTAGGAAAGCAATGCAGGAAGTAAGTATCTTGGCTTCTCGGGATGACAAAGCTATAACAGACCTTCCAGACATTTAATAAGCTGAGCGCTTCAATCGGTTGGTTACTCATCAGAGCTCCTACCAGAGCACTGTCCAAAAGAACTTTCTGCCATGCCATCCAATAGTAGAGTCACTAGCCACGTGTGGCTACTGAGCACTTAAAATGTGGCTAGCAATTTTTTAAAAACAAATTAATGTGAAAATTGAAATGCGACTAAAATGAAAAACTGAAAATTTAATTTAATTTAGATTGAAACAACCATGAGCAGCTTGTGGCCACAACACGCACAGCACACTCTAGGTGATGCATTTGTCATTATTGTATACGGCTAATATGTCAGATTTTTTTGAGATCATTCCAGCTCTCTCTTGAGTTGATTAAGTCTTCCATGGGGTTCTTAGCCTGGCTCTCTATAAGGCTCACCTAGGGTACCCAGGGGCCTTATTGCCCTCCTGCCTGGCACCCAGAGGTCTGGTTTACTTGGTTTGGGGTGGAGCCTGGCATCACCCAGTCTCCTGAAATCTTCCTGAGAGTTTCCAAGGAGCAGCTAGGACAGCTAGGATTGGGAAGTGCTGGGCTCCTGGCAGCTGGTAGAGGGAGCTCTTCACAGCCTCCTGAGGGAACAATCAAGTGTTTTCACAAACTATTACTGATGCAGAATTCGTGTCACTGCTGCCTGGAATAGTCTAGCTGAGTTCCCATGCAATTCTTTTTTTTTTTTTGAAGTACTGTGGTTTGAATTCAAGGCCTCGTGCTTACTAGGCAACTTCTCTATTACTTGGGCCATGCTCACAGTCCAATAAGCAAATACTTTAACTGAATACTGTATTTTATCTTTGAAACAAATCCCATTACTTCTGGTGGCATATCTCAGAGCTCCTATGCATACTGATGAAGTGGTCAGGGAGAGAGGACTCAAGCCACAGTGGTGAGGGCTGCAGGTCCCCAACCCTCCTCAGCTCTTGGATGCCTTCAAGACCCACCCTCACTGGGCACCATTAGCTGTCTGGTGTCCCCATTTCTGCCACACTGGCTGGTGTCTGGCTCTTGCTTTCTCTGACCAAGCCCTTCAGATCGCAAAGCACCTTTCTATCCAGGGGTCTCCACACTAAACGTCTCCCTCTGCCTGGGTTGCACTTCCTCAAGGCACATGTACCTCACCACTGTCTCAGTTTACCCACATCTCTGTCTAGGAATTTTTTGGGGACTAGGCATGAACCCTGGACTGGGCTATAATGGAGTTTGCACAACCTCTCATGTAAAAGTTTGCACAGCCTCTTCTACCATATTTTTCCCAATACCTGGTGTCTTAACCTTTGTTCTCACATCTCCTTGAAGAATACAACCTGCTGTGTCCGCGTACCAGCCCCCTGATGCAAAACTAGATAAAGTGCCAGAACTGTTAGGAGACTCCCTGATGCCAGATTAATCAATACCTTAGATAAGGTGTCCTGCGTGCCTTGATGATTCCAGAACTGATGTGCTGTAATTAAGCTTCATTAGCCTTAGGACAATTAGCCCACCAAACCTCATTCCTTTCACCTTGCATCAAGAATTGTTAAAGCTTGATTTTTACCTGAGTGTTTTCCTTGTACTGACCTCTGAAATAAACACTCTGGCTCAGGTAGGCGCTCATGTTTCCTATCAGGAATGTGCAGCCCTCCCGATCCCAGCTTTCTGCTTTATGTTTTATAGCTGTATGTCTGTGTGTGTCTTATTTCTCATTCTGCACACTCTTAGTCAGGTTCAAGCAGCATTCCCACGCAGGTCACAGGCAGTACTGCTTGAGCACACAGGCAGGCAGCACACAGATGCAAATTCCATGCCACTCCGTCCCCTCTGAATTTTCTCTTCAGCCCTTGCCACCAACTGACATGCCATGTCCTTCTTTGCAGTCTGCCTCCCCCAGCACAGAGGAGGCTTCAAGAGGGTAGGGACGCTGTACCATTCCCTCCTGTGTCCTTAGCACCTGCTATACTAACTGGCCCATGTAATGTGCTAAATCAGAACTTAGTCTTCACGGTAGCACTGCTGGGTTAGTTGTTACTATGTTACCACAGAACATGGAGGAGAACTGAGGCTGGGCTATTAAATAATTTGCCCCAGGTTACGGCTGTAAATGGCAGAGCATCTATTCAAGCTCGGATACAGCCGCTGGATTAAGTAAATAGATATTCCACTTGTTTTTCTGCCACGGTCCCCCAAAATATTTGCCCTCTGGTCACCTCTACCTGTTCTTCCACTGAGCCTTGAGGACAAATGGCCACTGACAGTGCCAACTTTCTCCCAACACCATGGCCAGTAGCATCTGGAAGGGACTCAGCAACTGGCCACTGTGCAGTATTTACACTGAGGTAACTGGCAAGTGCTACAGATAAGGGACTCCCCACCCCCCCAAACACCCCCAGGGATCTGCCCATAAAAACACTTGCCAGTACTGCACTCTCTTCCCTACTCCATCCTCCCCTCCCCTCCAGTTGTCTCTTTGTTCAACCCAGCCCAGACCCTGTCTTCTTGTTTGGGCCCAAATCCTGGGAGCCCGTTAGCTAGATGGAAGGGATTAGACAATCCCTAAATCAAATGAGTACAACTAGTGACTAGGAAACCAGATTAAGATGGATGTATCTTGATTACAAAATTTCATTTCAGTAAAGAAAAGAAAAATTTCAACGTGTGTGTACAAGAGTACACACAACTACCACTATAAAAGTGAAGGACAGCATACTTTCCTAGAAAACGTTTCTTGGCATTTATTGTATTTTACTTGGAAAAAACAAATCCAAAACCTAATGAATGTGACAAAAGAGAAAGATGTGAGTGTGGCCTGTACAGTCTTCTGAAAGATAAATATTGACTTTCTAAGCTTCTACTCTGGTCAGTTTAAGCCAGAATCATACCCAAGAATCTATAAATTCACTTTTAACTTATTTTTCAGATGATCAAGAAAAGGTTATGAAGCCACTTGCCAGGCTCACACTGGCTGGAAATGTCAGTGACACACAGACGATCCCTCTCAGGCAAACACTGTAAGCAATTACCATAAAAAGAAAAGCACTTACTTCTAGGGTCTGCATCAGATTTGGTTTTATTGCATCTTTCATCAACACCGTCAAGGCGCCTGTCACCCCCTACAGGACAGAAAAAAGCACTTCAATTACTGGCAACGGTTAATCACACAGCTCTCTCTCCAGCCTGCTTCCTGGATGGGCATCATCATGGTGAGGCCATGGGGGACACAGCTGTGGCCTCTCTCCACTTCTCCCCTACCAGGGCCAAGAATGGATGGCAGCCAGCCTAAGATGCAGACGGCGTGGGGAGCCTCTCTTCTTCCCAAACCTCCCTTGACGGCATTTAAGAGGCTTCCCACAAAAAGAGCTTATAATCCACCTAAGTGTTGTCTGGCGACTTAGGCAGGTTATTCTTTCATTGCCAGTCTTCACCACTGCCCACCGCTCCCACCACTACCATGGCTGTTACAGAGCAGGAATGGAGGGAGGTCAAGGGAAACAGGTTTCTGGTTCCAGGAAGCTGCTCTCCCATAGATGGGATGGCACTTGAAAAGTGGCTGCACTTTTCATGCTTGTATATTCTCTCTCTGTCCCTCTCTCGGAAGGCTGCCTCCTCCCAATCCTATGATGATTCCCTTTAAGTGCCCTTTAGAGAGAAGGAAGAGGGTGACCTAAGAACTAGAGGGAAAACTGTGCCAAAGAATACCAAGAGGTTACTTTTTTTTTTAAATGACATTCCCTTCTTCCTTTCTTCCTTCCTTCCTCCCTCCCTCCCGCCTTCCTGCCTTTCTTCTTACCTTTCTTTCTTCCTGTTTTTTAAAAAGAAAAATCCCTTTTCTCTTGCTAAAGACTGAGGTTTTCCACGTTACTGTTATTGGGAGACCGTGACATAAGCAAGTGTCTGTGAAAGCATCTCGGACCACAGACCTGCTCCATTCAGAACCTGGGCTACCATGTCACTGATGACACCTCAGACTGGACAGACAGGGGGTGGAGTCTGGACATCCTCATGGCTTTCCCCCTCTACTACCACTGACTATGAAATGCTTTCCTCCTGTGATCACTCAAGATTTATAAAGAAGCCCAATTCATTTTCAGCCTTACTATACAGAATACATACAGTCAGAAACGTAACTACTATTATAAATACAGGAAGAGCTCGACTGTGAAAGCTACAGGATGGGAAGAACTGAAAGAAATTCTCCCTCTTTTCCTATCAGGTGGACAGGGCAGACCTCTGCCTCTTTCTTGCACGCCACTGTAGCTAACAGTCCCAAGGTAATCAAGCCAGATCCAAAGACGTAAGGAGAAAAGAAGGTGGTCCTGTCTACTCAGGTGTGTCTCCATCTGCTTACTTCTCACGGCATACCTCAGCTCAACTGCTGCGCCTTCTTACACCTCAGTGTCACCAACCCCATGCAGAGAGCCTCCCCCACGGAGGGAGCCCTGTGGCTGCCATTGATGTGTGACAGTCTACCCCGACAGCGCAGTACTGGCCTTCCACACCCTTTGTCTATAGTGAGGAGGACAGCCTGGACACTCTTCCAGGGTATATGAGAATCATACATCTGGAAAAAACATTATTTACTTTTTTTGACGGTACTGGAGTTTGAACTCGGGGCTTTGCATTTGCTAGGCAGGTGCTCCACCACTTCAGCTATGCCTCCAGCCCTTTTTGCATAAATGTCATTTTTCAGATAGGATCTTGTTTTTTGCCCAGGCTGGCCTGGACTACAATCATCCTATTTTATGCTTCCCGTCATAGCTTAGGATGACAGGTGTGTATCACTCCACCAGCCCTTTTTTGAGAAGGGCTTTTTTGAGATAGGGTCTCACGGAACTATTTACCCAGGCTGGCTTCGAACTGTGATCCTCCTGATCGCTGCCTCCTAAGCAGCTAGTTTTGCAGGTGTGAGCCCCTGGCGCCTGGCTGCAAAAACCCTCTCTTGACCAATGGCTGGGTGGAGTGGTGTCTGCCTGCCATTCCAGCTACACAGGGGGATCACGGTCCAGGCTGGCCTGAGCACAAAGCGAGACCCTACTTCAAAAAATAATCAACCCTAAGAGGGTTGGCAGACTGGCTCAAGGGGTAGAGCACCTGCCTAACAAGCTCGAAGCACTGAGTTCCACCCCTGGTAATGTCAAAAAGTAAAAAGCTAAGATGGAGCTGGAAGTGCAGCTCAGTGACAGAGCTTGTGTTCAGCGTGTGCAAAGCCCTGAGTCTGATCCCCAGTACTGGAAAAAAAAATGGGGTATAGGGGGTTGAGGGGTGTGAATAGGTGCTTAGCAAATTAGCATATGAACTAAAATAGGCAGTGGTGCCCTGGGCCCCACAAAGCTTTGCAGGAAGTATCCCTCCATCCCACAGAGGAGCTGGCCGGGAGGCTGACAGAGGGAAATGGGGTGTCTCATGCTTTTGCCTGGGCTAGCCTTGGACTGTGATCCTTTTACTTCCATTTCCAATGTGTCTGGGATTATAAGCACAACACACCACGCCCAGCTTGCTTTTTGACACTGGTCTTGCTAACTTTTTTTTGGCCTAGGCTGGTCTTGAACCGTGGTCTTCCCATCTCTGCCTCCCCAGTAGCTGGGATTATAGGAATGTACCACCATGCCTGGCCCAGAACACAAAATTTTAAAAAGTCACTAACGGCAGGGGATGATCCCACCCCACCCCAGCCAGAAATAGGGATCAAGACTGGCAAGAAAGGCATAAAGTTAATGAAATAAATTTCATGTGTTTGGTTGTAGCCAGGTATAAAACAGTGATAAAGTGCTCATGAGGTAAGAAACTGTAAGGCAAACAACCAGGCCTGAGAAATGGGTGTAGGAAATTCTCTGAAACCCCACCCCCCCATACAAAGTGCCAAGAGGGGCCCAAGTAACACTCACCAAGTCCTCTGCTGTTACGGGTTGCCCATTCTTGTCACTGGCCACCACCATTCTTCCCAGACGCTCCTTCATGTCCGCAAGGCTGTCAGTCAGGGCCAGCACTGCCATGATCTCGCTGGCCACTGCAATGTCAAACTGTGCCTGCACCAGCAAAGCAAAGGCAGTGGTCAGGGGCAGTGCCCTTGGGCTGGCCATTCCCCCAGGGAGACGATTTCAGCAGTGACGTGACCACAGGCTGCCCTCAGCGGGTCATGTTCACACCCGCAGCACAGGGCCTGTGCTTGGTGAGGTCAGGGCACCCTCGATAGGTGACCACACTGTCCACTGTGCTCTGCTGAGCAGCAGTCAGCTGGGCAAGTCCCCTTAAACCCCCTCATGACACCACGTGTATGCTACTGTAGTCTGTCTCAGTTAGTGACCATTAATGTCAATACCTGTCTGATGTGTCTTAGCCACCAGGCTACAATGCCAGGAAGTCAAGGCCCACATGGAGGCGTTGCTTCTGTGTTTTTTTTTTTTTTTCTTTTTTTAATTAACTCTTGGGTTTTGAGTCAGGTTCTCAGTATACAGCCCACACTGGCCTCAAATTCTTGAGCCTCCTGCTTCAGCCTCCCAAGTAGTTTGGGATTATAGATATGCTCCACCATGCTGGGCATGAAGGTTCACTTCTGATCCCCAAAAGAGAGGACAGTGTGATACCCAGCAAGCACTCAAGACAAACTGACTGAACTAATGAGTAGCCTATTGGCTACCTCTGTCAAGGAGGCTGCGTTTGTCTGTCCAGCAAAGAGATGAAGAGCAGATGGTGGGAGAGGACGGTTCCACTGCTTCCTGCGTGAGGCCAGTTTCAGAGTTAGATCTCAGCATGGCCATCAAAGGGTAGCACAGAATCCATTTTCAGTTGCTCCCGAGGCCACATCAGATCTTAAGGCTCCCAGGAACGAAAGCTAGAGAGCAGCGACTTTCTGTGAAAAGTTCCCAGGACTGCCTGCTCCCCTCCTCTGACTCTGCCTCCAGGTTGCACAAAGTCCAGGGGGAACCGAAAGGGCCACAGGAACGTGGACTTCCCCAAGTCGTAATTCAGCCACCAGGGAAGCTGCTCTGGACAAAACCACCTCGCTAAGCTCCAGCTGAATTCTCCTGCTCCCAAGGGGAGTGCAAGCCAGACACGGTCAAGGTCACAGGGAGAGTGGAGGTGCCCTGGGGGGATCGCCTCATGAGACTTTTATTATCCACCTCCGTCACTGACAAGGGAGGAAATGAAGGAAGGAGGAGTTTTTTGGCTCCTTCCTGGTTCAGACTGCTTTAGCCATTGATGTAGTAAAAGGTTATTACCTGAAAGCCAACACAACTCGTTCTAAACCTAAGTGATTTTTCACTGTGTGGGACCTAGGACTCTCTGCCCCCATTCCAGTATAAACAATGCATGGAGGAAATGGCAGAAACTATTGAGATTTTCCTGTATGCACCATGAGACTAGAAAGTTTTACAGTATTAACCGTGTAAACAAATGTACAACTCATAATGCATACACAGCCCTGGGGTTTGAACTCAGGGCCTCACACTTGCTAGGCAGAAGCTCTTATTGCTTAAGCCACACTGCTAACCCAAACTGGATCAACTTAAAGATCACACTTATTCACTTTATTGAACTGCACGATATGCATAGTAGAGGATTGCTCATATTGGCTCTGCAAAAGAAAATATTTCAAAATAGTATCAAGGGACAAATGAGAGTTTTACTATTTATCATATTATCACAAATTTAATCAAGGGACCATACGTAATGCTGTCAAGTATGTGAATTGATTTAACTTTCCTGGAAAGTTAATGTAGAATTTTATAAAACTATGCCTCTGGGAACATATTATCTCCCAAGTACACACACAAACACGCATGTCTATCTGTGACGGCTTGCTTAGGATAGCTCAATGCTGTACATGCCACACCCTCCATCCATTAGCAAGGGACTGGTGAGTCCTGATGGCACACCTAGGAGACATTATGCAGCCACTAAAAATGACCACGGACATCTACCTTTATTGACTTAAGACGCTCTCTAGAGTCTTATGATTGAAAAAAGCAGTTACAGTTCTTTAATACCATTTTTTTTATATAAAAAAATGCTTCAAACAAGGCAAGATAGAATTGTGGGCAAGTTACTTAGCATACCATCCCCCTCTCCCATGTGCAGCTCAGGTTTACTCAGGGTTAGGAATTAAGCCTGCTGGTGTATGCGTGTGTGACAGGCCTAGTGACACAGGCGTGTGGCAGACATCCACGCAGCCAGCATTAATCCTCCATCTCCCGAGGGCTTACACTGTAAAAGCGTGCAGAGGAAGGCGAAAGGCGTGAGGATATGCCTTTTCTTTCCCACGGATTGGAACAGTCTTTCTTTTCTAATCCCGGCACTTGTACACGGATAGAGTTACAGGTGGATGCAAGCGCTGGCCTTTTGTTAACATAAACAGGATTACGTTATCTGTATTTTACTTCAATTTTTTTTTAAATGTTCTTTTTTTAAAAAAGTTTTCTCTTTACTATTAGTATGAGAGCTGTCATTCTACCTGTATAGACTGTGATGTTCAGCTCCACGTGACACAGAGGATGCCTCAAATATATATCACTGTCCCTACTGACAGACACTTGGCTAATCTCAAATTTTCACTGTTACAAACCAGGCTGCAATTTTATAGCCTTATATATAGATTTTTTTTTTTTTTAAGGAGAGGGGTGGCATAAACAAATATTCTGTCTCCTCCATAATAATTTTGGTCCTGAAGTAGTAATTGTTGGGTTGTTTCAAGCTTTAAGATTTACAAGCTGTCAGACAAAAAGGCCTTGCCAATTTCTACCCCTACCACACCCTGTAAGTCTCCATTTCCTTGCAACTTTGCTACCATTTGTTAGTCTACTTACGTTTTGATGAGCTTGTAGGAAAACAGTACTTGTTATTTTAATTTAGTTTTATGAATACCTTTTCATGTTGTCATTTTATTTCTGTATCTGTAACTTATCTTTTACTTATTCAGCAAATACTTAGCAAACTCATCCTACTCCCGTGTAAACTCAGTTCTGTTCTGAGCACTTAGACTGCGTGGCAGTTCTGACCTGCCTCCAGACCTGATTCCAGACAAGGCCAGCAGTGACTAGGAAAGGAAACACTGGTGCCCTATAAAGTTCTCATGTCAGCAGCAGAGGGTGAGGATCAACACGAAATGCATGGTGTGTGCGCAGGGTGGAAGTCCAGCAGGCCAGGCCAGGCCAGGCCTCTGCAGTCTTAAACAAGGGGGAGGGGAGGGAAGGGGAAGGAAGGAGAGAGGAGGGAAGGGGAAGGGAAGGGAGGGGAGGAAAGGGGAAGGGAAGGGAGGGGAGGGAAGGGGAGGAGAGAGGAGGGAGGGGAGGAGAGAGGAGGGAAGGGGAAGGGAAGGGAGAGGAGGGAAGGGGAGGGGAGGAGAGAGGAGGGAAGGGGAAGGGAGGAGAGAGGAGGGAAGGGGAAGAGGAGAGGGGAGGGAAGGGGAAGAGGAGAGGGGAGGGAAGGGGAAGAGGAGAGGGGAGGGAAGGGGAAGAGGAGGGAAGGGGAAGGGAAGGGAGGGGAGGGAAGGGGAAGGGAAGGGCTACCATGAGAGCAATAGCTGGGTGCTCATTGCTGGACACTCTTTTTGTTTGGCACCCTGATTCTTGTCAGGTGTGCTTCCAAATTATTACCGGCCTTTTAATGGCTATTTGTTTGGTTTGCTTGAGGTGCTGGTTCAAGACCAAGGGCCTTGCATGTACACCAATGATCTACCAAAGAACTACACCCTCAGCTCTTTTTGCTTTTAAGGCAGGGTCTTACTATGCAGCCCAGGCTGGTCTTGAACTGGGGCTCCTCCTGCCTCAGAATCCCCTAGTGCTAGGATTTTAGATGGGCACCTCCGTGCTGGGTTTAGTCATTTTTTGGCAGCACTGGGGAATAAACTCAGAGCCTCGTGCTTGCTAGAGAGGTGCTCTTACCACTTGAGCCACTCCACCAGCACTGGGCTTAGTCTTGTAATGTTTTTGTGTCACTTTTTTATACTTTGTTATCTCTATATTACCTATTCTTTCTCTTTATAGTTTCTGCATGTGTATCAGTGACAGTGAACACACACGGCACTGACAAGGTCTGACACTCCACAGCCAGCTTCTTTTCTGTTTTCTTGTTTTCTACTTTCACTACCAATGTGTTTAATGTCAGTGTTGTTGTTTTTCTCTTTCTGTTGAGGGATTTAGGATAAAAAATCATTCGTCCGGACTCTGAACCAATTTCCCCAAGGCCACCTGGCATTTGGAGCTGCTGAGAGTTCTATTTCTTTGTGACTAATCAGGAGCTTTTCCATTTGGCAGCTCTTACGACTTTCATGTTCTGAAATTTCGACCTGAAGGATCTTCTGGGCATCTTTCTTCACTCACCCTGCTTGCACTCGTCTTTGAATGTGGAGACTCATGTGTTCCTTTGGCTAAAGACATTTTCTCTGTATTACCTCCTTAGATTCCTTTCCCTTCCTTCTTTTTCCTGCTAAGCTGTTTAGACACCTCCAAGAACTGCTAGGTGTGTGTTTCCTATCACCCAAGTTTTTCTTTTGTACTTTCTCTCTCTCTTCTTTGGGAACTGTGCTGTCAGAGGGCGTTTCTTGGTTTAGATGTGCCTCTCTGGGGCACTCAGCCTCTGTCTGGGTTTTTACTTTCACAACCAAAGTTTCATTTACAAGATCTTAACACACTTTTTGAAGCAACACTCAATTCTCACTCACTGGACATGACAGTTCTCTTAGCCCTCAAGGACAGTGACACCTCTTTTTCTCTTTCTGTGGTGCCGGGAATTGAACTCAGGGCCTTGAGCTTGGCAAGCACTGTACAACTTGAGCCATGTCCAACTCTTTTCCTTTTAGTTTCTCAGATACGGTCTTGTAATTCGCCCTAGCTAGGCGTACACAGAGATCCTCTCAATCTCAGCCTACCAAGTAGCTGGTATTATAGGCATGTACCACCACACCCCGCTCCCTTAGGTGACTTCTAAGAATTGCACAAAGAGCAGGCTCTGACCTGGGATCATACACCTCCTCTTAAAGACTGTCCACCAATCTACCATTTTGTTTCTTGGTAAGTAAGCTTTACCA